TATATATATATATGTGTGTATATATATATATATATGTGTGTGTATATATATATATGTGTGTGTATATATATATATATGTGTGTATATATGTGTGTGTGTATGTATTAGTAGATTAGTATACATTATATAGATAGATATACATAGATCTATCAGAAGGCTCTGATGTTGGAGCTGAAATCCCTGCAGGAGGAGCCAGTGGAAGGTTTCCGCATCACTCTAGTGGAGGAGTCGGACCTCTACAACTGGGAGGTGGCCATCTTTGGCCCTCCAAACACACTTTATGAAGGGGGCTACTTCAAGGTAATCCCTGTGTGGATTTAAATGATGTTCTTGAATGCTTACCAATGAACTAGAATGTTGCGAGTCAGATAAAGTAATTCAGGTCTGCATAATATTTAATTTTGAAGTGTACTAGGGCTGTGCAATTAATCGCATGCGATTGTCATGCGCATCTCATCAGTAAAGCCGGTTCCGTGATTAGTAGTAAATCTCCATCACGATTCTCCAGGCGATTCGATCTGCGATAATGAACGCGATATTGCCTAATTGTCAGTGAACTACGGCTCTGTGTAGTAAATGCCGCTCCATCTGAAAGCAGGTGATGGAGATTTACTACTAATCACAGAACTGGCTTTACTGACGAGATGCGCATGACAATCGCATGCGATTAATTGCACAGCCATAAAGTGTACCTCACATACTTGTTCTCTCATGTTTTGCACTCTCAAGTTCTTTGCCTGGTGGTGCGTTCCTTATACTCTAGATCTCTATTTTTAGCCCTGATAGATGTTAATGACATCTCGATATGAGAGCTAAAAAGAGAAAGACAGCATGTTTCAACCGTATATTTCCTGTGGTCACTTATTCTCAGTGGCATATTATCAACTGCAGTAATCAGTACTTTTACAGTGACGCAGTCCTCAAATTTACCACAACAAAATTCCTCAGCATTCTTTCGAAGTTATATTATTGTATCATAATATGCCACAGGTCACAGTCTTTGGTGAAGTTTTATTTATGAATTTAGGGTAGCAACTGACTTGCAAGTATCATCACTTACTCACCAATGGATCCTCTGCAGTGAATGGGTGCCATCAGAATTAAGAGTTCAAACATCTGATAAAAACATCACAATAATCCACAAGTAACCCCCACGACGACATCTTGTGAAGTGAAAAGCTGCTTGTTTGTAAGAAAAAAATCCACCATTAAGGCATTTTAAACATCAAACTGTTGCCTTTGGCTAAAATACGAGTCCTCTATCCATAATGTTTCTGCCTCTCATCTACATCTTGGATGAGTAAATTCTTGGATGGGTACATTTTCACTTTTGGGTGAACTATTCCTTTAATATGTTTAAAAAGTCATTTGCGGATTGATTCCCCCATGACTTTTGAGGAAGGATTACCTTTTGGCCGAATAGTAAAACATTCAATATTTTTGGCCAGAGAAATTACACACTTCACTTTTAAATCTTTTTAATTAATGTCAAGTACCTTCATGAAGCATAAAATCACCCTCAAACAATTTCAATATTCACTTTCTGTCTTCCATCATTCTATAACTGAACAGCCAGGGCCCAACAGCATAGTCAAGGTGATATACTGTATCTAATGCAGCATGTTTTAACAAAGATTATGGTATTTTTCTAAACACAGGCTTGGGTTCCACCCATACTTAAAATACCAAAGTATTTAAAATGTGCATCTGTCAGGCCTCAGCAAGATATTGCATGGATAGAGATATTGCATCTTTGGTGAATAGCATTTATAATTTATGCCAAAAATAATGTCTATTTTCTTATTTTTTATGTATGCAGGGTTTCCTGTGAAAATTTGTGTCATTTGTTCCCATTTTTTTCTAATGATCGTTAATGGAGGAAGTTAGATTAGATCAGGTTTTAGCTTTCGAACACTAAATGCTGTAACTGAGACTCAGATTTTCATTCACGCTGTCACAGTCACGCTGCAGTCTGACTTGAGCAATAGCCAGTTCATGTAGTCTGACACATAATCAGCAGTCAACAGCAGAGGTGAGTAGCAGGAATTCCACTTGCAGAGAAGATACAGTCTCAGCAGCACTGCACTCATGTTTAAAGCAATAATTCACTCCAAAATGACACTTCTCTCATTATTTACTCACCCTCATGTCATTCCATACCAGGTTAGCCTTCTTTATATTTTGTGGAACACAAAAGAGGGAAGAATGTGACTGTAATTTTTTTAAACAACCACTCTTGAGGTTTCAAGCTTCAAAAAAGATGCAGAAGCATCGTAAAATTATCATAAAAGTAGTTTTTACGACGGCCAGAATTTAATTTTTTGGCTGAACTATTCCTTAAAAAGCGTACTCATGGCCATAGCCACATAACCTATAACTGCTCTCACAATCATTGCAGTTTTACTAAAATCAAAGCCACAATCACTTTCAAAATCACTATTGTTACTTAGCACAAAATAGTGCTATCAGCACTGCGCTGAAGAGAGTGTAGTATTTAACACAGCACTGCACTGTCATCTCAAGCGTGCTTTTGGTACCACATCAGAAACCTGATGAAGAGTACATGATGTTGAGATTCATGAGGATTATGTTGATATGAACCCTTTTAATCTAATGTGTCCTTTCCATTTTTTGGAGTGATTAATAACGGCTTTACCAGTTATAAACCGGCTCATATGCAAGCTAATAATGCTCCATGTTTCATTCTGCCTCTTTCCCCAGGCCCATATAAAATTTCCTATCGACTACCCCTACTCTCCTCCGTCCTTCCGATTCCTCACCAAGATGTGGCATCCAAACATCTATGAGGTGAAAATGCTTGTGTACGCCTGTTTAATGCATGTTTACTGTGCCACTAGCTCCAACAATTGGATTACAACAGCTTAAAACTTACATTAGTAATCATACAGTAACAATGTTGCCATTGTTATGTAATGAACATCTCTCAACCCCAGAATGGCGACGTGTGTATTTCTATTCTCCATCCTCCTGTGGATGACCCTCAGAGTGGAGAGCTGCCCTCAGAGCGATGGAACCCCACACAGAATGTCAGGTATTATGGTGAAAATACCCACAATTACACTCAAATAAATGCTGTTCTTTTGAACTTTCTATTCATTATAGAATCAAAAAAAGTATAATATTTTCCACAAAAATATTAAGCAGCACAACTGTTTTCTGTATTGATGATAATAAGAAATGTTTCTTGAGCACCAAATCAGCATATTAGAATGATTTCTGAAGGATCATGTGACACTGAAGACTGGAGTAATGATGTTGAAATTTCAGCTTTGCATCACAGGAATAAATTAGATTTTAAAATATATAAAATAGAAAAGAGTTATATTAAATTATAATAATATTTTACAATAGTACTGTTTTTACTATTTTTTGATCAAATAAATGCAGACTTGGTGAGCACGAGAATTTTTTCAAGAACATTTCAAAAATCTTAAGACCCCAATCTTTTGAACGGTAGAGTAACATGTGTGTTTGTCTGTAGAACAATCCTGCTGAGCGTGATCTCACTGCTTAACGAACCCAACACCTTTTCTCCTGCAAATGTGGACGCCTCGGTCATGTTTCGCAAGTGGAGGGACAGCAAAGGCAAGGACAAGGAATACGCAGAGATTATAAGGTACGACCACTTTATCATTTAAATGACTTCCATGAAAACACATACTCAGCTTGTTCCATCAAATTACATTAAAGGGTTAGTTCACCCAAAAATGAAAATTAGGCCATAAATTACTCACCCTCAAGTCATCCTAGGTGTATATGACTTTCTTCTTTCAGACGAATCCAGTCGGAGTTATATAAAAAATTGTCTTTGATCTTTCAAGCTGTTTAATGCCACTGAGCGGGTGTTGCGTGCATCAGTCCAAAAGAAGTTAAATAAAAAGCGCCCATCCATAAAAAATGTCTCCCACGGCTCCGGGGGTGGACAACGGCCTCCTGTATCCATATTCAAAACGTAATAATCACTTTAATGTAGCTTGCGCCAACAGTTGTACACGGAAGCAGCTCCGGGCAGATGACGTATAAGGTCAGCATGCACCGCTCAGAAGAGACGCACGCGGAAGCGCAGGGGAGAGATCAAAACAAAACAACAGTCACTTGTGAGACACTTTTTTTTATTTTTATGGATGGGCGATTTTTATTTTAACTTCTCTTGGACTGATGCATGCAACACCCGCTGAGTGGCATTAAACAGCTTGAAAGATCAAAGACAATTTTTTGTATAACTCCGACTGGATTCGTCTGAAAGAAGAAAGTCATATACACCTAGGATGACTTGAGGGTGAGTAATTTATGGGCTAATTTTCATTTTTGGGTGAACTAACCCTTTAAGTTTAAAGGTCAGTCTGCAACTTTTTTCCTGCTCTTGAACTTTTTAATATAAACTAAATTTTTCAATATATTTTCTGTTCACTTCACATCACAATGAATACAGTACATCAAGTACAGATGCATACAATTAAATGATTGATATATTATTAATTATGCTTAATCACATTTTTTCAAAACCTCTTACTCCAATCTGTCCTGCACTGTTTGTGCTACAGACATTAATAATACTTCTAAATGTGTGGCTTGCTGAGGAGACTTCTCATAAAAAATCCAAGCTTATGATTGTTGCCTCTTGGTTGATAAAATGGGTGAAAAAGTTCAATAGACTTACTTTGAAGTAGAGGAGCTAAGCCATATCTAGAGATCAGAATATCATAGTGACATGGCCATGTGTGTGTTTTTGACTTGGGCTAGTAAGCATCAACCCTGAACACTATGAAAAGAAGTGAAATATATTTATGCATGCGGCTGTTACATTTGCATCTGTTAAAAGAAGCTGTGAAGCCTTAATTGATTTGCAGAGTTCCAGCAACGTGCTAACACAAAACTCGCAACTGTATAGCAATGCTTCAACAGCCACTCAGAATAACTTAGTAACAGCAGCAGCACCCTGGCAACCGGCCAGCACACCGAAGCATTGTGCACAAGTACAACTTATATATTCTTCAGGAAATATCCAAATTTAACTATACCACTGATATCTGAGTTGGCTTGAGATCTAGATTAAACATTGATTGATGCCAAATTTTGGCCCAACACGTTTCCATTGCACCATCCCACTGAAGTTCAGGACATACTGCTCCGAGTGTGTCTTTATTTCCCTTGGCCAAGTAAACATTAGTGAAAAATGGTGAACTTCTCCCTTATTGACATTCTTTCCTAATAAAAAGAAGTCTCTTATGCTCACCAAGGCTACATTTATAAAAACTGTTATTGTGTTATTTATAAGAAATATTATTGTATTAATTAATATTAATATTTAACATTAATATTGAGAAATATTATATTAAAAAATAATTACTCCATTACTCCAGTCTTCAGTGTTACATACTCCTTCAGAAATCATGCTGATTCGGTACATAAGAAACATTGCTTATAATCAATGTTGAAAACATTTGTGCTGCTTAATATTTTGTGGAATCCATGATAAATGCATTTTTTCAGGACTCTAATGAATAGACCGTTCAAATAACAGCATCTATTTAAATTAGAACTTATTGGTAACATTATAAATGTCTTTACTGTCACTGTTGATCAATTTAATGCATCCTTGCTAAAAAATTATTAGTTACTTTAAAAAAAAAAATCTTACAGACTTTTTGCGTATATTTAGAGACAGTTGTTACTTTTGCAGCTATTACAATAAGCCTTAACAGGTTTGCTGACACTGTCTTTGCGTTTTGCACAGGAAGCAGGTAATATCCACGAAGGCAGATGCAGAGCGAGATGGAGTTAAAGTACCAACGACACTAGCTGAGTACTGCATCCAGACCAAAGTGCCTTCTCATGACAGTAGCTCTGACCTGCTCTATGACGATCTATATGACGACGACATAGAGGAGGAGGAGGATGACGATGACGAGGCAGAGGCCAGTGGGATTGGCAGCGAAATGGCCGGGGACTGTTTTGGTGACGAAGACGACTCTGGCAACGAGGAATCTTGACCTCCTTCCACCGTTTCCGTGACACTGACCTTCGCCCTCTCAATATTCTTTACCCTGACAGCCTCATGTTTCAGATTCTCTTTTCCTGTGCTTAAAGCTTTCTTTTTCCACTCTGTTCCAAAAAACTCATTACTTAAGATCTCTGTCCTTTTCTGCACCTCCCCGTTTCTAAGTAAAGAACACTTTGGCTTCATAAAACCAGTCATTTTTTGTAACATTTCACATCCCACCTTCTCCTGCCTCTTAACCTCAGGGCTTTAGGATAATCAAAGCTTGTCAATCCACCTTAAACATGTTCATTTCAATATATTTTTTTTTTCGAGGGCTAGTTCCCTCATAATTAAATTCTGTTGTGATTTACTCACCCTCATGTTGTGAGAGAAATTTTATTAAGCTGTTTTGACATTTTTGAGCTGCTTTTCCTTATAGGTAATAACCAAACAATCCCAGGTTCCAAATACACCTAGTTCCTCTACTATATAGTAGGCAACAACAGTACATAAGAGAGGGGGGAAAAAAAGAAGAATTGCAAGATGTGAACAAAAAATTGTGATATAAACTCAATTTCGAGATATAAACTCGCAAATCAGAGAAAAAAGGCAGAATTGGAAGATATAAACTCACAATTCTGAGAAGAAAAGTCTGATTTGTGAGTTTTAAATCTGTAATTGCAAGAATAAATTAATTTAATAATAAAAAAACTAAAACAAAAAAACACCTGTGAGATGTAAACTCAGAATGAAAAAAAATGACTGAGAAGTAACTTAAAATTCAGAATTACGAGATGTAAACTCAGAAATCAGAGGAGTGAAAAATGAATGGTGAGATGTAAATTCAGAATTGAAAGAAAACAGTCCAAATTTTGCAATATACAATGGCTTCAGAAGAGGAAAAGGCCAAAATTTAAGTTGTTCCTCATATCACTAAAGCTCTCTTTTATGCTCCAGGCCATTGATTCTTGCATGTTGCGTAACCAAATGTAGTTTGCCAGTTTGAATCAAGATTAGGAATGACACGAGGGTGAGTAAATAATGGTAAAACTTCCATTTTTAATCAGACTAACCCTTCAACCCACCCCCATGAGCTAGTTATGCCTGGTAAAATCACCAACAAATGAATGTTTTGTTCATTTCCCAGATTTTCAAGTATGTACAGTTTCTTCAGAACTGTCTTTACAGTATAGGGCTCCACTGATTCCACTATATGTACCTAAATTCCCACTTTTCCACAAGAAAGGTAAGTATTCAAGGGTGGGAAAATGGAGAACGAATAGACAGTTTCCTTCTCATTAACTTTAAGTGTCATCATTTTGACCAGCCATCCACATCAGCAGGGTCACCTTCACAACTACATCCTCTTATGCGCAGCTCCCACCCCCAAATCACATGAGCTTTTTGAGCCATTAAATCACGGTGTCAAATGATATGGCACATGAAGGTGCTTGCAAGTGCTCAGCAACACTAGCATTAAAACTACTTCCAGCACACCTTCATTTTGCTGACCCAGAAACTATGATGAGACTGTTTAAGTCGCTATGATGATGTCCCACGTTCAGCCCCTAATATTCGATCCACCAATTTTGGCTGAAGGTAATTATACTGTTATGCTTTTAAATGAACACATACTCTTGGTAAGTGAACACGTATGAGCAGCTGTACCAAACTATTTCCTTTTCTCACCAATTACGGGGTTTGAGATCAGTGAATGCTGAGGACATTTCACTCATCGGTGCGAGCCCTCTCATCCTCGGGTCTTATGCTTTTTTGCCTTGGCAACGGTGCCGCTGTGGGCCGTAGCTTTCAAGAGCATGCTTGTATGTTTTAATGTGTTTTATATGATGTGTCAATCATCTGATGAGGCACGCGAACCCCTAAGGTCTCTTTAATGGGGGTGGAAGCTTAGACGTTTATGCACATGGGGTCTCAGGTACACCTTTATTCCCACAAACCAGCCAAGGACACGGATGCTGATTCCTGGTCCTACGAAACCCCTCCAGAAGGGAGTGTGGATGTGAGGATCGTGAGAGAACTGTGCTCTCGTACTCACTGAACTATCTAGAACAATCATTCCCGACTCAATCGCTCCCTTAAATCTCTGGACTACGGGGCGAAAGGGCTCAACAGGGACGTGAATCGATTAAATCGGACTGGATTTTACACATTCAGCAAGAGACTCTCGGTGTATTACACCCCTGTGCACAGCAAAACGACCAAGTTCATTTCAAAAAGTGTTGTGACGTTAGTCGACAGTGGATTTGTCTTGAAGGATTTTATTCTTTGTGTGTCATGAGTGTGTTTTTAATGTTTCATTAATGTTTTTTTGGTTTTCATATGCTATTCTTTGACAGGATTTGTGGTCCTGAGTCAGATCACAACAACCGAAGTCATCATTTGCTCTAAGTTCAATGCATTTCCTTTCTCTTGTAATGTTGTTAAAGGGAATATCATTCTAAATATTTACATAAGGAAGAATGGAAAAACAGTACGAATGAATCTAATTCGATACCTAATTCAATTCTAAACATAGGTATTTGAGTTTGGGGTGGGTGGGGGTTGTCCAGTATGGTCATTTTAAGACTGTGCTTGTATGATCACAATACAATTCATTTTTGTTTGTGTGTATGTACAGGAGTTAATGCTCCTTAGCAATTAAACCATTAGACAACACATTCAGAGGTTCTTTCAGTTCATGACAGTGTTGTTATCATTGACAAAAACTATTAAAAAAACATTTTGGTTAATTGAAATAAAGCTAAAATAGAATATAAACATTAGATGACAATTCTAAACAAAAATGTTACAATTTTGAACTGAAGTTTAAGTTGAAGAACTAAAATTACTAACTGAAATCCAAAACTAAAAAACTCTTTAGGAAATATTTTAAAATAAATTAAAATGACAAACACTTTAACTAAAATGAAAATATAAAAATAAGGCTCATTCAAAATATATACAAACTATAATAGAATTTAAATAATACTAAAACGACATTGATTCTTGAACAGTGTTTTTCATTTACTGGTTTCATTATAGTTAATAAATTAGGACAATCTGCATGATGTAGAATTCATAGCAAAATAACTTGCATACAATTTATAGATTATTTCTGATGGACCCTAAATTTCAACATCGAAAAACTGTACAGTATGTGGAGAAACTTTAGTGGAAAAGCGACAATGAGATTGGAAAATGTGTGTGTGTGTGTGTGTGTATAGAATGACCAAAAACCCCAGCGTCTCAATATTTGCCTTAAAGGATTTTTTTTTAGGTTATATACAGTGGTTTATGAAGCACTGTTTTATTACCACAGGGAAAAAAATGGAATTGTATGTTTATTGTGTCATAATCCACTTACAAGCCCTGTATTATAAATTTTAAGTATTTTTGTCTGTGTGTGTGTTTTATTGTGGGGCTTCTCAAAATGATTTTCCGTGGTAATTAACAGTATGCCACAGATGGCGTCATTAGAGCTTACCTCATATTGAACCCACAACATTCTTTGGAATGAATGGCAGCTTTGTTTTGTTTTTTTTGTTGGTGGAGATTTAGAGGTTGTGAGTTTGTCTTAACATTTTTAACAACTTGGAAGCAACCTATTATGAATTCAAATTAAATTCAGCTTAGCAAGTAGAGACGCAAAAAGGACAAAAGTCAAATGTCTATTCCCACGGTCAAATTTCATACAACACATCAGGTCCACCTTTAAACCGTCATTAATTCAACATCCTAAAACGATTTTATAAAGGTGAGTCAGTGCAAGCATTTAACTCTGTCAGTGTCTAAATGTCAAAACCAAGTGTAAATGTTACTGTTTGCCCTGTGTTTCTAGATACTGCTGTGCTGCTGTAAGTGTGTCCTGTAAGTCCTGTTTTTTTGCCAGCTTACAGGCTTCCTCTAGTTTGGCCCAGCGGTAATCCTGGTGTTCGTCTGAGAGAATGACCTGTGTGTTTGGATCACGGAGCTCAGCCAACCAATAGAGGACCTCTTTGTCCTTTCCCCGGACCTGATAGCGCAACCTCTGCAGGAAGCCATCGACCATACGCAGGTGATCTTTACCTAAACCTGCTTCCTCCTGTGTCTCTCTCAAGGCCGTGGTGAAGTCATCCTCTCCAAGGTCAACATGACCTTATGGGGGGAGGATAAATTTATTCTTTCAGTAACAATACTTAGAAATTGAAGATGTCTTCAATTGATTTGCTGCGGACAGGTCATGTGACTTAACTACCTGTATTAGTTGCAGCAATGGTTGCTGTTTTTTGTTTTACATTTAGTTTATAAATGCTTTACCGACTCATTTTCTGTTAGTAGAAACAGGCGTTATGGTGAAAATAACCCATAATATTCTTTTAAATAGGCACGATTACAGGTAAAGCTTGTGGTTCAAATAGAAGTTGAGAGTAAAATGAGTTGAGCACAGTAAAAGCATCATGAGAAGCTGTGAGATGCACCTTTGGGTGGCGTCCAGTGATGTTCCCCGTAGGGCGTCTGCAGCAGCAGGAACTCTATATTATCGGGGGGAGGCTGCTGGGCCAAACGCCGAAAAATGACAAATCCACACGCCCGCAATGCCATAACCTGGAAATACACAGTCTAGTAAGCATATGCAGCTATCTGTTATAGTTTTATCATATAAAAAGTTTCACTGTGCGTTCTAAATTTAAAAAGATTAAATGAAAATGTGTCAAGTACAAACAAATGCTCAAGTCTTTATTAAACTGATATATAAATTGAGATCGTAAGAATAATAGTAGTCCAAGGCACTCGAATCTTATTCAAAAAATTTTTAAAAGCCTTTATTTCATCATATAAATTGAGATGTTTGAGAATGCCTGTCTGTCATAGCCGATTTATTTTCTAAATACAGGATGTTTTTATTATATAATTATATATTTACTTATATAATTACATATATATATATATATATATTTAGAATAGAAAAATCCTATTTTGTATACAATTTTATATTATTACATTTTAATGTATTTTATTTTTTTTACATTTTAAACTCTTTCTTAGTGTTTAAAGATGTGTTGCAATGTTTAAGAAGGCTTATGGTTTATATAATTTTGTACAAACATATATAATATTTATTTGGAGAACGTTTTTATTATTATTATTATTATTACTATGCTTTCTAGAGACATCTGAGCAGCTCATACACCATCATTTACAATGTGCTGAGTATTATTATTTGTATTGTAGAAACCCTGCTGAGAAAACCATCTTAAACCAGTCTAAGCTGGTCTTAGCAGGTCTGTTTGCTGGTTTTAAATGAGTTTCAAAGTCAACTTTACTGTCATTTTTAGCACATCGCATGACAATGGATGAAAAACTAGTTCCCTCAGGAAACAACAGTATACAGTTTAGAAACACAACTTGCAAACCAGCTGGTTTAAGATGGTTTTCCCCACAGGAAATGTCAACTACAAGTATCCTGAATGCGTTTTATGTCGTTTAAATACAAACTGTGTGTTGGAAATACTATTTAACGAAAATGGACTCGCTT